GCGCCACACGAGCTCCTTGAGCGCCTCCATCCCGCGGTACTCCTTGCCAAAGGCGGAGACGCTCGACCAGCCCTCGTAAAAGTACTCCTCGAGCGACGCGTTGACGCGCGCCGCGCCGAGGCCGGGCCGCCACACGGCGTCGGTCGTGCGGACGACCCACTCGGCGCAGTGCTCGAGGAAGGTGGCGGGCGCGTCCTTGGTCGGCGGCTGCAGCGCCTCGTCCCCGCCCAGGAGGCAATCGTTGCTCCACGGTAGCGACTGGTCCGACGGCGTTGGCGGGGAGCCCGCTGCGCCCTCTGTACCCTCGCCCGTGGCGGCAAGCGGAGGCTCGTCGATAGGCCCGCACGGCGGCGGGACCACCGTGCGAACGAGCAGGTCGATTCCGAGCTGAGCGAAGAGGGCGGGCGTGTCGAACATGGCGTAGCCCTCCGTGGCAATGCCCCCCACCACGTGCCAGTGCAGGCCCACGCGCAGCCTCACACGCGAGCCGGTCGCCGCCTCGCCGAGGAAGCAGCCGCTGTGCGTGGCGTGCAGGTGGCCGTGCGCGGCGCAGTACGCACCCTCGCAGGAGAGGACATCGAGCTCGAAGGTGCGGCCGGAGAAGCCGCGGCGCAGCACGCCGATGAAGTGCTCGCGGTACTCGCCGCGCCCGCTCGAAAAGCCGACGCCCGACGGGCCGTAGAAGCGCATGTGCTCGTCCCAGAGCGGCCCGGCCGCGGCCGCCCCGCCCGGCTTCTCGAACCAGTCCTCGTCCAGGAGCACGCGCACCACGTCGCGGCTCAGCTCCGCCGAGGCGGGAGGCGTGAGCGGCGAGTATGGCGCCGGGATGCCGTCGATCCCCACCGGAGGAGCGAACCAGCCGTCGTCACGAACAGGTGCCACCGGCAGCACGCGGCGGCCCGCTTGGCGGAGCAGGTCGGGAAGGTCCAGCATCATCCAGTTGTACGCGATCTTGTCGCCCTTGAGCCGGTAGAAATCGCAGATGCGGATGAAGGCGGTGTCGTTGGTTGGCGGCATCCCGGCCAGCGGGCCATACCAGCGGCCTTTGGCGTACGTCGTGGTGGAGGCGGTCGCGTTCTCGGCGAGGAAAATGAGCTGGTTGAAGTAGACCTGCAGGCGTGGCACGCGTATGACAGGCGGCGCAAGCGGCGTGTGACAGGCGGCGCAAGTGGCGTATGACAGGCGGCGCAAGCGGCGTGTGACAGGCGGCGCAAGCGGTCGTTATGCTCGAGAGCGGGGCAAGTTTCCCACCTGGTCGAACGCGATGTTGAAGGGAACGTGCTCTCCGTCGAACCAGTCGCGGAGGCCTGTGAAGTTGCCGATGCCGTGCACCGTGTCATACACAAAGTCCTCAGTCCAGTAATCCTTCATGATGGCACTCCACGCGTCCCAGTCGTACACAGCCACGTGGTTTGCTATCACGTCATCCATTGCGCGGATGACTCGCTTGGCCACTGGAATCGGGTAAGGCAGCGCTGCCGCGCCGACCAGCAAAACGGCAAGACCGGTCGCCATCCCCCACAGCCGCGATGCGGCCTCGTCGATGCGATGGTCGCCTTGGCGATAGTCGCTTTGATGCGATGGTCGCCTTCGTAGCCACACAAAAGAAGAAATTCATCCGCCCCCCTTCCCTTTGTGAGCAGGCGCCTCGTGCAGGTGTGGACCCTGTCCTCCTCCCCTATCCCTCGTTTGAGTTGTCTGTTTTCTTTCTTTCTTTCTGCTGAAGGGGCGCCATCAGCATCGCCATCGGCAACCGCGACTTCGGGTTGGTAGCCGCCAAAGTACACAAAAATGTCAAAATCTGCCTGGGCGCGCAGTCTGGCGGGCCGCCGACCTTCACAGCTCAGAGCTCACATCTCGCTCCCGCATGCCGCCTCGGGGCCATGCCTGTACATACATGCACACAGAGAACAACAGTGGACAGAACTACTCCGAGTCTCCCGCCATCGCCTCCCGCGCCTTGGCGGTGAGCACGCGCGCTCGCTTCCCAATGAGCACGGCGGAGCCGCAGGGGCCGGTGTGCCCGAGAGGGCGGCCGCAGCCGAGCGTCCTCTTGCAGCTCAGGGCGTGCTTCTCTGGCGTCGACGGCACGCCGCCGCCGCCGCCGCCGCTCCCGCCCGCCGCCGCGGCAGCGCCGGCGCCGCTGGTCGAACGCCGGAATGGCCGCCGGGGCGATGGGGCGCCCTTGACGCTGCCGTCCCCTCCGTCCCCGGAAACGCTACCGCTGTCGCTGCTGCTGCCGCCGCCGCCGTCGCTGCTGCTGCCTGCCGCCCTGCTGGCACCGCTGCTAGTGCTGCGGCTGCCGCTGCCGCTGCTGCCGATACTGCTGCTGCGGGAGAGAGCCATGAGGGAGAGGGCTGCAACCACCTATAGGAGAATGGACGGTGGGCTGTGGACCGTGCGCTGCGTTCAGCGCCTGGCCAGAGAGTTTGTGAGAAAGTGGAGGGAGCGGCGGCAGAGGACGCGCAGACCCACCCGTGCGCGCACCCGTCTCGAGTGCTACGTTGCGATGACTTTGCGATGACTTTTGCGGCGTCTCTCGGATCTGGGGCAACCACCGGCGGCTCTGCGACGGAGAGTGCCTCGGAGGCTGCGGTTCGGCAAGCCGCCGCCTGGAGCGCCAAAAGTGCGCTGCGTTGCGTGCCGCCGCCGCCGCCGCCGCAGCCTCCGCCTCCGCCGCCGCCACCGCCGCAGCCCATCATTGCAAGGCTCGCAGCGCCGGCTTCCACCCCCGCCGCCGCGCTATTCCGCAGCGGCGGCCCACGAGCGGGCGCCTCCCGTGCCGTCCCTGCCGCCTCCGCCACCGACAGCGCACCGCCGCCACCGCCGCCGCTCTGGGCGTGCGCCTCTACAAGTAGCTCGAGCAGCAGACGCACCCGCACAAGCATCGCCTCCTTGGGGGGCGAAGAGGGAGGGGGGGGGAGGGGGGGTCGGAGACGGAGGTGTGAGAAGGGGGACGCGAGGCGAGGAGGAGTGGTGGGCGAAGGGGAGGGCGGAGTGAGCCAGGGGGAGATTGCGGGAGACGCCTGGGCGTGGGCGCTTGAAAGCGAGGCCTGCAACCGCTCGAGTGTCAGCATGAGCGTTTCGCCGGCCTGCTCCTCCTCGCGGAGCTCTTCGCACAACCGCGCCAAAGCCGACTCCGCGTTCGGCGCCCGCGACACGTGAGGGTCTTGGGGCGCCTCCGGTCTCCGCCGCTCGTTAGGCTTCGGGCGCTTGCGCATGATGGTCTTGGCCAGCGCGGGCGCATCGCGGCGGAACGACATGTGGTGCCACGTGTTGTTTGAGCCCGGGCTGATTGTGAATGAGTGCGCGTGAAGCGACCGTGAGAGAGACGGATAGCTGCAGTGGCCGAAGAACCTGGGAATGACGTCTCGAGCGAGCCGCTCGGGGTTGGTGACCCATACGTGCGTACCGTCCTCGCTCCAGCCGATGCAGTCGTGCCCGGAGGACACCAACTCGTGAAGTTTTGCGCCGAACGTGGGCACGAAAGGCATCTGGAGAGAGGCAGCTAATGACCCCACACACAGCTCCGTCCAAGATCAGATCGGTCTCGTCGTCGTTATGCTTCTCGATATCTCGTTCACAGATTGAAAATACCTCGCCTGCTCCAGTCCAGTTGCGCACGTATCGGGTTGAGCGTGCGGGCCGTATACAACCCGGCGGGAGCGAGAACTGGGCGATCGGCGAGATCGACCCTGGCGGCCGAAGGGCCTCGGAGGGTGGCCCAAATAGGGGTCACATGGCCCCTCCGCATCCTACGGGCTGATTTGCTTTGGACGAACCATTCCGAGTGGTCGAATAGGGGCGATCGGGCGTGCGACGGTGCGAGCTTACGGAAGAGACTCGGATGGAGGGAATAAAGGTACTTGACACAGTAAGTCCTTAGGACTGGTAAATTGGTGTGATCGTGAAAGCTGGTCAGCCGTGCGTCTTACGCATGAGTGGGAGCTGTTTGGCGGTCGGGTGGGTGCGGGGAGCTTGGGAGGCGAGCCGGTCATGCGTGCGGAGCGCGTTCGGGTACGGTCGGTGCGGTCCTCGGCGGTCGCGGCGTTGCCCGTTCGTGCCGTTCGACCGTTCGAGCCGGTCGGTATGCGTGACGGAGCGGTCTGTGAGGGCTGGGGCCGTAGGAGCTAACGTAACGAGGCGTGTTGTTCACTGATTACAAGTGCTAGTGCGCAGCCTCTAGAGTCCTAGTCTCGTAACGAAGCTCGTATTCTTGCATCTTAGATCTTGTGCCACATACGCACATAGTGGGTGAAACTTCTGGAGACGGGGAACTAAAGCCGCAAGTCAAATGAGCTGAGGGAAGGACAAGGAGTCCAGCACCAGCATCCAGCTCAACGCAACGAGAGTTTCAGATGATCAGAGACGCGGTGAAAAAACCGCTCGGCTGTGTAAAAACCGTATGTTCAATGTTGTACTGTACAGTAAGAGACTTTGTGTTAGAAACTGCGCTTCTGGGCCAGTCAGTCAGTTTCTAACGTCGGTTACAGATAAACTGATGGTCCCGGGGAGGAATGTGATGAAGTTTTCGAGCGGCACTGAGGCGCCCACCACCCTAGTCAGGAATGTGCTGACAATGTCTGAAGTGACAGCGACCTTGATTCCTTTTGGCTGGAATGGGTGAACTCCTGGGATGCAGCGCGCGTTCTCATGGATACGGCGCACCCGCTCGTCCTCCGAGAGACGCAGCGCGTCATGCGTATTTGCCAGCTCGATCTCACGGACGGGCTCATTATCAAAAGTACTGCACCTCAGACTCGCTGTGGCGAGCGCGGCCTGATCCTTGGATGTGCGCTTTGGTGGTATTAAAGATGGAGAATCGAATGACAAACTCTTTCGCATCACAAAAACTCGAAAAACCAAAGAAAATATTAAAAAAGATCTTCTTGCGATGTCCGACGACGTCGACGATCCCCCCCGCAGCAGCCAAAAGCTGCTCCCTCGAACCGCGGCCGACTCTTGTCTACCATCGCGGCCGCAGGCCCGCAGCTGTTGAGCTCTCCAGAACGCAGAAGAATGGTGCCTCATATGCTGCCTTCTCCCTGCGGATGCTGCCGGCGAGCCTGGCGGTCCGCTGTACTACAAGGAAGTGTTGACTCGATTCTACCTCGAATTCTTCTACCCCCACGACTCGGAACGCGAATGTGACAGGACCATCGGGTCCTTCAGCCACCAAAGTGAAATCACCCGAGAGCAGCTGAGCCTGCCTCTGGCCTCGCCTCCCACCTCTCCTTCAGGCATTCGTGGCATCCTATGGGTCGTCCAGAGTATCGACCTCTGGCGAGTCAGCCAGCCCCACTTTGAGGGCGCCATGAAGTACAGAGATCGCCACCTCGCTGGCCTCTCCGCAAGGCCCCCCGACCGCGTCGAACTCATCGGCGCGGGCTCTCTCGGCTACGGGACCGGCCCCAGCTTCGGCTGAGGGCTGACAAGCTGCCGAGCCCAAATCACTGTGAGAGTCGTGATTTCTTGTTGGTTTTCTAAAACCTCATTGATGTTGCTAAAAATCTCTCTCGAGGACAACAGGGCAGTCTGGACACGCACGCATCACGGGGGATGTCTTTCATTGTTACCGGCTCGCCGTGGTTGCTCCGCCGCTGGACAGCCCTCTCCACCACCCTCGCCACAGGGATGTACCACTTCCAGATGAGAAAAAAGTGGAGCTCGCTTCAGATTGTCGATCAGCTTCCGTGGGCGACGGCGCCCTTCGACGACCTGTCGATCAGGCCAATGTTGCTCCTTTCGGCGCTTCAGCCGCATCGCGCGGGCACGCGCGCCGCGGCGCCGGTGCTGCAGCAAGACCGGGCCACGCAGAGGCTCGGCGTCGCCCCGCCGGGCGAGTACCCCATGGGCGGCTACCCGCCCCCTTTCCAGGGCGGCCAGCAGCAGCGCGGCTTTGCACAGCAAGGGTACCCGCAGCAGGGCGGGTACGGAGGCGGCGGGCGTGGACGATACGGGGGCGACGGCGCCGCGACGCCGGCGATGGCGGCACAGGCGGCGAGGGCGGCGGAGGCGGCGGCCGCTGCCGCAGCAGCCGCGGCTGCGAGGGCGAGGGAGATGGAGTTTGAAGCCTTCCAGCAGCAGCCGGGGTACCCCCCGCAGCAGCGCGGCGCGTCGGGGTATCCCCCGCGGCAGGGCGGTGCATCGAACTACCCCCGGCAAGGCGGGTACGGCCAGCAACGAGGCAAAGCAGTCTATTCGACGGGATGCCGCCAGATGAAAGGGACGGCAGACCGCTCATTCCTTGTTGCTGTCGTGTAGGCGGATACCCGCCCCAGGGTGGCTACGGCGGCCCGCCGCGCGGCGGCGGCTTTGGCGGCCAGCAAGCCCCCCCGCGGGAGGGCGGACAGGGGGGCTACGCCCCTCCGCGGGGCGGCTTTGGCGGCCAGGGCTTCCCGCGGCAAGGCGGGCAGGGGTACCCACCTGCCCAGGGTCAGGGCCCAGGCGGGTACCCGCGGCCAGGACAGCCCGGCGGGCTCGGCGGGCAGCAGTACGGAGGCGGCCAGTACGGCGGCAGCGGGCAGCAGTACGGGGGCGGCGGCCAGTACGGAGGCGGGCCGCAGTACGGAGGCGGGCCGCAGTACGGAGGGCAGTCCGGCTATGGCGGGCAGTCCGGCCGGGGCTACGATGGCGGCGAGGGCTTCGGCGCTGAGATGCCGATGCCCGGCCGCGAGAAGGAGTACGAGGACTGGATGAAGGGCGGCGGTGGCATGGGCGGCCCCTCCGGGCCCGCCTCCCGGCCTCCACCCATCGACGACGACCGCCGCAACCGCTCACCAGGATTGAAGAACAACTTTTACGACATCCCGACCTCGGACTTCAAGCGGCCCTGGACCGGCGCGCGCCGGTAGCTGTTGCCATCGGGCATGGTGCGGCGACAGCAGCACACCCATCGCTGGCAGCGATGGAGAAGGGTGTGGCGGGCGGGCGGCGCGGTGAGGGAGCTTCGAGCCGACTTGCAAGAACGACCTTGGCTTCAAATCGCGGTGCGCCCTCGTGTAAAACGCGTGCGTGTGTCATGTGTGTGTATTCTCCTCTGGCTGGGCGGTGGGGGTGGCGTGCGGACGCGCCAGTCATGGAAATCTCTAGTCTTTCTTACATCTTAGAGAGATTGAGAGCGGACGGACACGGTGAGACCCCTGAACCGCTGAACCTGAAGATTTCCGGGCAGATCTCAGTCTCTAGTTTCCCGCCCTTGAGATCTCCAGTCTCGCTCCCAATACGTGCATCACATTTGTGACGGTGTCACAACTTTGATCAACCATATCTCGATAACTACCATGTCGTTGTCGACGCTCATGAAAGTCTCGGACTCTCCCCATAGAGCCGTACCCCAAAGTCTCACTAGGAACTAGGTGTAACCGCCGAGCCATGGCGCGCGTAGCTATGACAGGGACCGCGGCCGCGGAACCGGCGGCGGACGGGGCTGGCGCGCAAGCGCCGGCCACCGTCGTGCCGCCGGGGAAGCGCAGCGGACGCTGGAATAGCTCCGATCGCGCGCAACTGGAGGACGCGGTGGGTGTCGCAAGGTTGTTCGGTGCGTCTTGTGTCAAGGTGATAAGGCCTGGCTACGCGACATCGAGGTCGACCTGAAGCACGAGAAGGCCGCGGGCGACCGCGAGTCGGTGAAGAGGCGGCGGAGCGCTCGTACATCGAGCGCACCGCGCCGAAGGAGAAGGAGCTCACAGATGAGCAGCTCGCGGCAAAGGCCGCGGCACGCAAGGCCAAGAAGACCAGGCAGAGAGAGCGCCGGGCGAAGGAGGCCGAGCGCGCCGCGAGCGCGCCGCGAGCGAGGCCGAGCGCGCGGAGCGCCCGCGCGCGCAGCTACGCACGAACATCGAGTACGTGATGGACGGGCTACGGTCTGCAGCTGCGCGGGCGCGCAGCCAGGCGGGGTCCAAGACTCGGGTCACCTATTCGCTGCCCCCAGAGAGGGACGACGGATATCGGCGCGGCCCTAGCGTGGTGTGCGCCACGGTCCCCCAGGGCACCGTGGCGACGACCGTCGCCTCGGACTGGCTCGCGAACGAGCTGGCCGAGCACGGAGAGATTGATGCGGCATGCCGCGACAAATATGTCATGCACCTGATGACGGCCGCCGGCGCCTCGGCGCCGGCCGACGCCGTGTTCAGGTTCACGGCTGGCGAGGCGATGCAGACCGAGGACGACGACGAGGACACCGACCGCTCCGAGGAGGGGAGGGTGTCCGACTTGTAGCTGGCCTCACCCATATCTTACCCTCTGCCCCCCCCTCCTGCGACCCCCCAGGCTAGATGGAGTAGTCACAGATAAGCCGGATGAAGATTCTGCCCCACACAGCCCCTTACCCCTTCACCCTCGCCTCGCTGCTTGGTGTTTCTCTGAACACGTAGACGACCACGCTGTGGGGGTTGTGTGCGGGTTGTGTCTGGGAGGGAGGGAGTGGGGTGCAGGTTGTGCTCACCCACGGCACCGGGCCGGTGCTTGCACTTTGAATGCCGTGGGGCTCCTGCCCGTGTCCCGGGCGTGGAGATGCGAGGGTCGCCCCCCCTTGCCCCACCACTTTGTGTGTGTGGAGACGTTTACCTTACCTTACCTCTTACCTCATGTGTCATGAAAGTAGGCGCAATGCATCGGGCGCCGGGCGCCCAGTTGATTGCGCCTACTTTCATGAGAGAGAGCGTCGACAAGCACAAGAATCAAGATAGTTATCGAGATATGGTTGATCAAAGTTGTGACACCGTCACAAAAGTGATGCGGGAGCGAGACTGTCTCCAAAATCTTCGTCGTACGTCGATATACTTCAGCCACGAAATCTCAGTCTTCCCGTCGCTCGGTGTGAGTTTCTAGAGGAAGCGCGTGAGATCTCAAAAGTCAAATGGCCAAGATTTTCCTTTTCGCTTTGGGTATTGGGAGTTTGAGATTTCGGTGGAGGAGAGACTGAGACTGCAAGCAAGAGAGATTCCGTTTTCGATGCAGAATGCTGTGAACTTCCTCAACCTTGAACCTTCCAACGCCTTTATCCTCCTTTATCTCGCATCGTTCGAAAAACATCGCTTGCGGGACCACCGAAATCTAGGGCAGCGTGACTCGAGATTTGAGATTGAGACTGATAGCAGCACGCTCGGCTTGCAATGCTTTGCGCCGCCGACACCTTGAGGAGCGAGAGCACGTCCGAGAGCGCAAAGAGCGCGGCGTCCAGCGGCGGCGGCGACGGGAAGTCTTCTTTCGCGAGCCGCTCGTCGAGCCACGTCTTGGCGGCGGCGCCGCCCGCCGGACACCTTGTCAAACTTCTTGATGATCTTTTTCCATGCATCATGGCCATGATGTTGATTCGAGCACAGCGATCCAGCTCGACAATCGCAGTCCCCGCTGCCTCGACATTGCGTCCCGACGCCTCGAGGTCCAGGTTAGCGGTGCAGAGCGAGAAGTGGATCCGCGCGCGAGTGTCGCTTCGATGGATGTGCGTCAAGGACTGGCACGCCCCCCGATTTGGGCCATCCCCTTGTCCAAAGTTCGAGTGATAGCCAAAGATACACTTGACTATACGTTTCAAAGATACAACATTATACCATTTCTCCGGTGTATCTTCGTAGATACACGGAGGAGTGTAGATCTATCTTCTCTCATGACACGAACCTCCCTCCTTGGAACCTACCTCCCAAGGGGGGGGGGCGTGCCGGTCTTGATGTGCGTGACTGGCCTCCGGCGGACAAAATTTGCGACGCGCTTCCAGTTCAAAGGAGACAATGCGCAGGAAGCCCACGCACGGGTCAGTCTCTTCGCCTCCCGCGGAAATCTGAGCCGCCAGGGTGTCGCCGGCGGCGGCGCGAAGCTGCTCGGGCCGGTCGAGAACCTCCTTCAGACTTGCGTAAGCGATGTAGTGGTTGCGGAGATCGATGGGCGCGCGGCTCACGGCCTCGGCGATGCGCTCTCCAAAGGCGACCATCGTTGGCAGCGACGTCGGGGGAAGGAAGGATAAAGCCACAGCTGTGTACCAAGCGAGCACACAGATACCCCTCGAAGCTTTCGGGCGGCGTCCTCGGCGTCTCACGATTCGATTCCAAGGCGGGCGGTGACCAGGCGGTGACACCGGTATACACAGCGGCAGCCCTCTTGAGAATCGTGCTTTTGGGGTGATTTTCGAAGGGCGTAGGGCGAGGTCTCGGCCGCCGCTCACGCCAGCGAGTCCCCGTTGCCCAACCCCTCAGGGGTGAAACCCACCGCTCTTCATACTCGTTTATTCACGAGGCGACCCCAGGGAACCGTGGGCAGGTTCCCTAGGGGCGTGCTGTGAACAAACAGCGAAGAAGACGCCTGCGGTAACTTGCGGTGAAACCAGCACGTCTCCGGGTTGTGCACCTGGGTTGTGCCCACGAGTCCTCGTTCCAGTCGCCCCGGTCCCGAGCCCGGTGTGCACCGCAGCGTGACCACGCTCGTCGCCACCCTTTCGGTCTCTTGCGCGTGAGCGGAGCGACGCCGCCCAGCGCGGTTCGCTGTGAGCCACACTCTCGACCGCGCCACACTCTCGGCAGAGAGCTCGCAAGTGCCACATGGGTGCAGCCGCCGGGCCAAAGATCGCTCTCTTCACCACCTACACCAGCGACTATCAGGCCGGACCGCTCTGCAGCCGCGTCAACCAAGCTTACGCCACGCGGCACGGATACGGCTGGGTCGAGGCCGTGGGCGATCCGTCTCGCCGCAGAGCCGCCGGCCACGACCCGCCGGCTCGTCACCCCACCTGGGACAAGGTCTCGCTGCTGCTCGAGCTGCTCGATGGGCTTTTGGCGGGCGCCTCGCCGCGCGGCCTCTCGCCGGCGACGACACACCTCTTGTGGATCGACGCGGACGCCGTTGTCCTGCGGCACGAGCGGCGGTTGGAGGAGCTTCTCGACTCGCTCCCAGCAGGCGCGCCCACGACGCCCTTCTCCTTTGACCCGCCGGCCCCGCCCCCCTCCGCCTGGCGACTCGCCTCCCGCTGATCAAGTAGCCGGCTCTGGACGCCTCTCTCCGTGCCAGAGCCGGAGGATACCTCAGCGCACAAGCCTCGCGTCGCGTGAGCAGTGCGCCGCGGCCCGGACGCACCGGCGCGGGTGCTTTATACGCGCGTCCACATCCGTCAACGTCGCTTCTCCCGCTCCCTTCGCCGCGCGGGCCCGGATGCCATCCCCTCTCGCGCCGACCCCGAGCCTCCCGGAACCTTCCCGGAACCTTCCCACAGACGTCGAGCTCCTAATCGGCGAAGACCTCACGCTCGCCTGCCTAGAAGCGGAATACGCATTCTTGGACTCCAACCAGCGCTCGGGAGGAGACGCGTTCAGCTGTGATCGACCGTGTTCAGCCGCATTCCCTGTATTCGCGTCGCTCGTATTCACACTCGGTATTCACACGGTGCTCGGATACACTTCACGACACCGTTGTCCCGCCCTGACGTTGGCGTATTCAGCACGTAGGCTCGCCTGCGCGCTCAACGCCGGCGTGTGGCTCGTGCGCGTGTCCGAGTGGGCGCGCTCGCTGTGGCGCGACGTCTGGGCCGCCGACGCGTCGCGCCGCTTCTGGCAGAGGCCCCACCACGAGCAGTCTTGCCTGCTGCACCAGCTGGCTCTCCGCGGGCAGCCGCTCAAGCAGGCCTGCCCCTTCCACTCCTTTGCGGGAGGCCAGCTCCTCAAGCTCTCGCAGCGCGTCGCCGTCCTGCCGCGGCACGCCTTCAACACCAACCGCGGCGACGTGCGCCCGCACGGCCCGCATCGCGCCGCCCCCGCCCTCGGCGCCGCGCGCGAGGCTTGGCCGCCGTGGCGCGGCCAGCCCCTGCCCGCCCTCCCCCCCGCGGGAGAGCTCGTGCAGGCGGGCGGGCGCGGCATGGCGGGCGCGGCGGATGCGCGCTGCGAGTTTGTCTTCCACGCGGCCGGCCGGCCGGCGGTCCTCGGCGCCGCGCCGGGCAAGCTCGAGGCGCTGCGCGCCATGCTCACGCACGCCGGCCTCGGCGGGTTCCTGAGGCACGGAGCGGCCGGCGCTGGCGAGGCCCCGGCGGCCGCCGACGGAGGGGCAGGCGGCGGGGAGGAGTCGCGCTTGTTCGGGTCCCTCGCACTCCTCGATTCGCTCATCGTCGCCACGCGCAACGGGGCGCTGCTTTCCGCTGCAGCTTGCCCGCCCGGAGCCGGACCTTTGAAGACGTGTGAGGCGGGGTAGCGGCATGGGTAGCGGACGAAGAGCTGCACTGTAATATAAATAAATAGATGCAGACGGACCCATGCGCCGATTCTCCTGCATTCGTCTGGTGTGCCGGCCTGCGAAGTGCGATGCCACTTGCCAGCCTGCGTGCCCGCTGCACCCACCCACCGTGCACACGTCGACTCGTGGCTTCGTGTATCAACAGCAGACACCATATTCCCGATCCCCACACGCCTTGGCTTCGGTGTTTTCCAGGCGCTCTGCGGCGAGATACGGCTCTACACACGTACACGTGGTCGGTCACAAGGAACAATACGTATATTTGAACAAAAAGGAGCAGTGTCCAGTGAGAGTGACGGAGTCCGCAGGAGCAGCAGGCAGCACCGCAGGTTTGAGTTCTACACCACGTACGGTACGTATAGCTTGACCGCAAAGCGTGCCGGCCGAATGAATTACGCCGGCCACACGGGAACACCATGATTCATCTACTCACTGTGGGTGGCCCACTCGCAACAACTGTGTCGCCATCAACATGCACTGTTCCGCAGTGAGTGAGTGCTTCCTCTACGTCTGCGCGTGATGCGCCGACCAGCAGCGCCCCCATCTTTGTAACCAGCTCGCCACCTTCACCGCCGCCCTCACTGCCGCCAGCTCCACCGGCAACCTCAGAAGCAGCCTCGCCGCCGGCCCCACTGTTAGCGGCGGTAGCGGCGGCGGCGGCAATGGCGGTGCCGATGGCCTCGCCGCTGCCAGCCTCGCCGCCCGCGGCTGCCAAAAGGCGCTCGATCCAACGCCGCGCCTCGGGGAGTGAGCGCGTAGCCACCGCCTCCCGGAGCAAATCGCGCGCGCGACAGAGTTCGGTCCGCAGGATGGCAAGGGTGGAGGCGGTGACCATGCCTCCGAGGTCTCTGGTCGGCTCGAGCGGGTCCTCAATCGCAAAGTGCTGCGCTGCCCGCGGGTCGAAGCATGGGCAAGAGGAGAGCGGCTGCAGCCCTCCGGCGGAGACGCACGCAGCGAGGGCCAGGCCAGCCGGCGATCGGTCCGACAGCAGCTGCAACGCGGTGTCGAAGAAGTTGGTGAGCAGCAGCGGGAGTCTCGGCGCGGGTAACGGGGCCGCCTTCCAAAACTTGCGCGCGGCGGCGGCGTTTCCGCAAAAGGAGTAGCTCACGGCACGGCCATCGGGCGTCCGCGCGGTGTTCGCGACCAAAGCCCACGGAGGAGCCAGCCCTTGGAGGTTGGGCAGCTGCCCGAGGTGCTGCAGGTGGCAGATGGCGAGAAGCGACCACGCGTAGCTCGACGGGAAGCAGTGCCGCGCCGAGCATACCCGCCGCGCCCTTGCCCACGCCTTGACCAGCAAGCAGAGCTGCCACGCACACTCGTCCACCTCCATGTACGTGCGAATCAGCCGCGTGTTGTCGAGGGCGATGACGTTCCCGACCGAGACGTCGACAACAAGATCCGAGGTGAGGACCAGCGGCGCTCCCGCAGGCGAGGACCAGTCGCTCGGGAAGGTTATTGTGCAGATCGGGACTCGCGCGGCGAGCACCGCCGTCGCCGTGACGCCTGGCACTGAGCCAAACGCGTCCGCAATGTCCGACAACAAGCGGCGCTGCAGCTCCGGCGGCAGCTCGAGCAGCACTGTCAAGTCGATGTCAGATGCGGAGCTGCCGAGCAGCGATGTGGCACTCCCGTAGGCGAGGACCAGCGGCGCTGGACTGTGTAGCCGCGCCGCATTTTGCGCCACCAGCTGCGGCGGCGCCGAGGCGAGCCACGAGCGGCAGAAATGGTCTAGCTGCGGGACGGTGCGCGAGAAGATCTTGTCGCGGCGGTCTCTCGCGTACCCACTCGGAGGCTCAAGCCTCGCGCGCGCCTCAAGCGCCCTGCCACACCAGATCGGAGTCCGCTGGCCGGCGGCGGCCTCCGTCGCACTACTCGACCCGTGCGCGCCGTCCTCCATGCGCTTGATCGCAACCACCGCGCCGCCCGCCGCGCGCAGATTGCGCATCCCCTGCTCGCGCAGCTGCTGGGCCTGCGCACCGGGGCGGGGAGCGGGTGGGGAGCGGGCGGGGAGCGGCGAGGCGGCGTGGCGCTATGGCGGCCTTCTCCGCCAGCTTGGCGGCCTTCCTCTCCGCCTTGCTCGACGGCTTTTTCTTTCCCGCCGTTGTGCCTGTGGCGGCGGTCGAATCCGCCGCCCGCTCGTCCAGCCTTCCGCTCTCCTCGAGCGCCGCCACAGGCACCACCCTGACGCCGCCACAGGCACCACCCCGACGCCGCCTCTCCTCGAGCGCCGCGGATGATGGGGATGACATCGGCGATCCCGGTTGACTCGACTGCACCCGGTTGATCCCCACCCATCATCAGAGAGGGTTCCCTCACACGCCTGCTTGGAGGCGCAGGTGGAGGTGCTGCACCCCTCCCCTACCCCCACGGTACCTCCACCCATCCGACAAAATCGCGAGTGGACCTCCGGGTTCGGAAAAGAGAGGGACAAGAAGTCGGTCTTGAGCAAGTGCTTGCTCGTTGTGGTGTGGCCCTGCGGGCTGCGCCGGGGCCCGCCCCGCTAGATCCGCTTTTGCGCGACGCCCGTTGAGGAATGACACGCTCCCTCGGGGCCTGTGGTCCGTTTAAAAATCGGCTTTGCGAGGCAAGACATGCTCTGTGTTGCACCTGACTGCTGACTCCTCTCACCGATCCAGCGGGGGCCTTATTGTTCCCGCAGCCACGGGCGCCCTCGGCCCCACCCTGCCGCCTCGTCCGGCGGCGGCTGATCCTCGCCTCGGCTGGCCGCCCGCAAAAGCGGCCGTCCCCGACGGCTGCCTGCCCACCGGCCGCCGCTCTTGCGCCTCCTTGCGCGCCCGGTCGGCCGTCTCAGCCGCCTCATCATACAGCAGCTCGAACTCGCCTATACCGCACGCAAGCCGGTGGGGCGTGAACGCGTGTGACGCCCGCCGCGTCACGAGAGCCGCCGGGCTCGCCGTGGCGGGCAGGCACCTCGCCGCCCTCACCCGGCGTATGCCGCATAATGGCGGCGCCGCGGCCGTGCTCGAGAAAGTCGCGCGGGACGGCGAGGTCGAGCACCTGTGCGGGCGGTGGCAGTGGTGGGGAGGGTGGCGACGGGTCATGGCAGGGGCGGCGCGAGCAGGGGATAGGTTGATGGCGGGATATCGTCATGGGTTTCTCGGCTTTGACTCCATCTCGACGTCACCTCGGCAATGAGCTGCATCTTGAGCAGCATCGTGCAGGTTGATGCCTCGCCAGCCCCGCCGTCTACACGCCGGACGGTGACACTAATCCCTCAACTGGCGTCCTGCTGTTTGTTGCGCGTACTCCTCGTACCTCATGTATCTGTGAACGTGAAGAGAGTGGTACCAGCACTGTGGGTCGTTGCGGCACGCAAGCGGCAAGGGGGGCCTCCCGGACGCATGATCCTAGCCCAATACATCCCACGGAGCACATCTCGATTTTTGATAGAATTAAATCCACTGCCCGGGCACGGTACTAATGGTCGAGTTTTGGCCCGGTGCCCTTCACGGCACCAAACCGCCGCTGCCCTTCACGGATCCCTTCACGGCCTTGTCGAAGCCGGAAGGGCCGTGTGCACGCTCCTCCCGCTCGGCTGCCCGCAATGATCGCCGACATCGAGCTGCTTCCTGATGCCAGCAACGAGCTGAAGCAGGCCATCAAAACAGCCGTCTCAGGCACGGGCCTTTCCCACACCGTGCATGCCCACGGAGCAACGGTGAAGGGGCAGGCAGAGGCCGTGTGGACTGCGGCGCGCGCTGCGTTCGACGCATGCATCGCCGCCGGTGCATCCACGGAGACGGTGCTCCTCAAGATGCGCTGCGGCGATGGTGAAAATGGAGCAGCCGCCTCGGCAGTCAAAACCACCGCCTCCGCTGCCGCCACAGCAATGGTCCCGCAGCGCCCAAGCCCATTCGGCAGCGGTGTGCGCAAGCTCCAAGTCGTCGACTGCCACTGCGGTGGCGAACCGGCGCGCGTCATCGTCGGTGGCATGCCGCACGTCCACGGCGCTTCCATGGTGGAGGTGCGGCAGCGCTTTGCAAAGGCGCGGGACAGCCGAGATCTAGCCGAGGTGCCGCCGAGATGTGGGAGCGCTCAGCAGAGGCGTCACCCTCGTGCACGCCCCACGAGCAGCGCCCGCTGCTCACGCCGCGCGGTGTGCGGTAGGACTTCGACCACTACCGCGCTCTCTTGCTGCACGAGCCGCGCGGCTACCCGTGTCAGAACGCCGACTTTGTCCTGCCTGCGTCCCTAGATGCGGGAATGCAGCTCCGAGCACTCCGACGAGCACGCGAGAGGACGCGCATTCCACTGTGGCCCGCTAGATTCCGCTGCATTCCGCCGCGTTTGCTCTACTCGTGTTCTCTCGGTGAGTACACGGCACGAGGCCGTGTTCCCGCCCTGGCTCTGGCGTTCGGCAGTGGCTCTAGTGGAGAGGCGTTCTCTGCAGTGACTCTATGGCAGTACCTCTGGCGTCCGGCAGTGGCTCTCGCGTCCGGCAGTGACTCTGGCGCCCTCCCGCTGCAGGCCTCCGACACGGCCAGAGGCGGCGTTCGGCGTGGTGGTGGCGGAGCAGGGGAAGATCTACCCTGCCATGTCGGGCCACAACGTGATCTGCGTCGCCACTGCCCTCCTCGAGACTGGGATGGTCCCGATCGAGAGAGGCTCTGCCACCACGACCTTCCACCTCGACCTGCCGGCCCCGAGCTCCTAGATGCGAGATCACACGAGATCACACGAGATCACACGAGATCACACGACCTCTCACCTCGACCTGCCGCCCCCGAGCTCCTAGATGCGAGATCACACGAGATCACACGAGATCACACGAGATCACACGAGATCACACGACCTCTCACCTCGACCTGCCGGCCCCGAGCTCCTAGATGCGGGAGAAGAGCACCCCAATGTCTCTCCCGCTCTCCCCCTCCCTCCTCTCCACTGCCTCTCCTCTCCACTGCCTCTCCTCTCCACTGCCTCTCCTCTCCACTGCCTCTCCTCTCCACTGCCTCTCCTCTCCACTGCCTCTCCTCGGCGTACTGCCTCCCCTCACTGCTGCCCCTCAATTAGCACTCGACTCGGCGGTCTTGCACCGCTGTCGCGCGATGCTCTGAAGACACAGCACGAGACTGCACTCCCACCCCCAGCTCCCCTGCATCCACATCCATGTCCATGCACCAGGCTGGGCTGGTGCAAGTCAAGGCGCAGTGCGAGCACGGCAAGGCGACGCAGGTCGAGCTGCGCAACGCGCCCGCCTTCTGCCGCCCTTGCGACATGGGCGTCGAAGTCGACGTGCCGCTCGGCGTGGGCAAGGTGACCGTCGACATTGCGTACGGCGGCATGTTTTACGTCATCGTCGACGCCGCTTCGGCCTGCGCTCCTCGCTGCCGTGCCACCCGGCCACCGCGCGTGCCTCGCCTCACACCCGGCTGCTCGGGGTGCTCTCCAGGTGGGGCTGGTGCTCGAGCCGCAAAACGGGCGCGAGATTTGCAGGATCGGCGCCGCCTCCTCCCGCCGCCCCTCCCCCCTTCCCGCGCCCTTCCCGCGCCCTTCCCGCGCCCCCGCCCCTGCCTCCTCACCTCCTGTCGGCACCGGAGGCGCAGGCTCGGAGAGATGATCAAGGTCGCAGCTCGAGAGCAGCACCCGGCACGCCGATAAGGGGGAGAGGGGGG